AGGCCATCCTAGACTACTAAGCAAGACCCTGTCTCAAACAACCAAAAACAAGAATGGAACACCTATTTATATAAGTACAAAAGGGGATTCCCAAGAAGATAGTAATGCAGGTTACTTCTAGGAAGGGTACCAGGTGGCCAAGGTGTAGAACAAGGTTGTCTTCAGTACTCTTGTAATACTGGAATTCTGTATCGGATTCTTATTATTGAAAACCAAATAATTTCACAAATCTCACAACAACTGGAGACAATGCCATTTCTTTTTAGAAAACTACTTTTGACAGAACAGATCTCTAAGTAACCATAGCTGATTTAGGTTAAATCAGTGAGTGAGAGTGCTTGGGTTGACTAAAGAAAGTTATTGATACTTAAGATGACACAAAAACTGCTGGCCTTTGGGACAGTGTGGAGTTCTGAGTCACATGTCTCAGTATTTCCTGTGTTGTCTCCTCCAGAGATTAAAGTGGTAGCCTAGCAGAGCATGGGCTTTGTTTTTTCTTATGTTCTCACAAGAATTTCTTGAAACAATATATAAATACACAGAAAATAAATATAAATATCTTTTACATTGGTAGATTTGCTGGCTAAGCTTTTTCTTATCTTCCTCTCTGTTTGACTTTTTATCTCCAAAAAGACCAGTTTGATGATGAGTGTTGCAGGCTTTGCCATTTTAAATTATGTGGTACTATTTATATTAGGCGTGTTACATGGAAACTTTGAAAGCAAATCTAAGTTGACACAGTACACCATTGATATCAATAACCAAATGCCTTCTTTATAATGGTGTTGGTGTTTGGGGTTGGACAATTCTTTCCTAAGAAAGAACGTTAAGGAAATATGGAGAAAAAGTTTGACTGGTTTTCATAGTTTTTTAGTAAGATTGGAATCTTTATACCTGAGTAGTTTCCCTCCTCCCCCTGGTTGTTTATCAGATTTAGAAGAAAGCATAGAGTGCACCCTGAGCCACTGTTGTAATGGGACAGCTCTGCTTCAGGTGTGTCGTAAGTGTAGGGCTCTGAAGCACCACCTCACCTGAGTCTAATTTACAGCTTGTTCTCCCCGCCACCACAGTGTATATAGTCAAAACTTCTCTCTGCTCTCCAGGTGGCAGTATCCATCTCCCTGCGTGAGATTTCCGCTTGTGTGTCTAATTGACATCTCAAACTTACTATGTCCCCAAACAAACTCTTGATTTGTACTCATCCTCCTCATCCCAACCCTCTTCTTTTTTGGCCTTTCTCATCTCATTAAATGGCATTAAGATTTACCTGGGTGCTCAGTCCAAAATTTTGGCACCTTTACTGGTTCTCTTTCTGTCCCTGATATCAAACCCATTAGCAAGCCGCACAGGTTCTTCATTACATGTTCCTCATCTTCAACTACTTCTCCTGTTTCCTCAGCCTCAGACTGAGTCCAGACTCCCCTCTCCTGACTGGATTATTCCAGTGCCTCTGAATTGATTTCCTTCTCCAGTTCTGCCTCAATGTCCTATGTATATTCTCTACACAACAACTAGACTGACAGTTTTGGGGTTTTTCTAAATGTTTTATTGAGGAATAGAAATGTATTAAAAAAATTGTACAGATCTCAGTTGTACAACTTAATTATTTTTGCACTCTGTCATACCCATTTAATCCAACATGGTGATACTGCCATATGGTCACCCTTGCATTACGATGGCAAAATACCTGAGCTGAGCAACTTTGAAGAAGGAGAGGTTTATTTTGGCTCACAGTTGCAGCAGTTCTAGTCAGTGGTTGCTTGGCTCTGTCACTTTTGGGCCTGTATCAAGGCAAGTACATCATGGCAGGAGTGCATGGCAGAGGAAACTGCTAGCCTCACAGTGGCTGGGAAGCAAAGTGAGAGGAAGGGGCAGAGGTCCCAATACCCCTTTCAAGCCACGCCCCTGGTGACCTGACTTCTTACAGTTGAGCCCCACCTCTTCAGGTCCCCTCTCCCCAGTAGCACCACAGGCTGGCAACCAAGACCTTGGGGACACTCCTTCAACCAGCATCATGCTGTTAAGTCCCCTTGTGCTCCCTTTCAGCCACTGGCCCCTCCCTATCATCCACAGCGTCTTCCCATTTATATCTGACTTCATAGGTTAGTTCTGCTGCTTCTTAACACCATATAAATGAAATTTATACGAGAGGTGTACAGCATGAATTTTACTTTATCCCTTTTACTTTGACGGATATTTGGGTTTCTAGTTTTGATGTATTTTAAATTGTATTGGCACAAATGTCAATGCATATCCCTTCTGCTAAACATATATAAAAGTTTCTGTTGAGTATCTAGCAGGAGTGTAATTGTTGAGTCAAATGATAGGTGTGTATTCAACTTCAGCAGATGTTTCAAAGTAGATAAAGTGGTTATAACCAGTAGCATACGATGAGAGTTCTAGTTGTTCCATATCCCCAACAAAACTTGAAGTTATTGATCTTTTCATTGTAACCATTCTGATAAACATGCAGCGATAGCTCATTTGATTTTAATTTGCATTTCTTGGTGATTAGTGGAATTAAAGACCTTTTCATAATGATAATTGGCCATTTGGATATTTTCTTTTATGAAGTTCCTTTGCCTATTTTGGGGGCCATGTACTTTCTTCTTACTGATTTGTAGGAAATGTATAGATTCTGTTAAAGCACACTTTGTTGCTTTGGACATGTGTACTGTAAATATATTCTCCCACTCTGCAGCTTGCTTTTCACCTGCTTAATGATTTCTCTCAGTGAACAAAATTTCTTAATTTTAGTGTACTATAAATTATCATTGTCTTCTTTTGTAGTGATTCTCATGTCCTGTTTAATCTTTCCTTCCTGCAAAGTCATGAAGATATTCTGTTTTCTTTGCAAAGCCTGTTTTACCTATTACATTTTGATCTGTAACCCTTTAGAATTAATTTTTGTATATAATATAAAATGGAAGTGTCAAGAGTCATACTTCTTATGAATATCCAGTTAACCTAACATGTTTTTAAAAGACCATCTCATGTCAGGGATGGTGATTTTTTTCAAAGCAGATCATGAGATTTCCCCTTTTTCAAAATCCTACAATTGGTTTTCCATTGCACCTAGAATAAAATATGTACTCTCACCATGCCTTGCTTGCCTGATGTCTGTGCCCTCTTTCAGCTGCCCTCTGACCCTTCTCTCCCCCTGTCCTCTCTCTAGTTCATTGACCTCCTTGTGTTCCTCAGTCTTCCAAGTGCACTTCCAAGTTCAGGCTTTTCACATGCAGTTCCTTCTCCACTGAATCCTCTTTCTCCACTCATCTCACTCAGTTCTCTGCTCAGAAAGAACCATCTAATCATCACAGCTAACATAAATGAGAAAATAATTTAAAAAGTGTTCTGTGCATATATATTAATATCTCCCCTAGTATACTGTGATTCTTCGAGAGAAGGGATTATGTATTATTTGCTTTTATATATTTTATTTGCAGTATAATATATAAAACTCAAATAGGGTCTGAAGTATAATACACACATTGTTTTGTCTACATTAGTCCCAGATAAGTCATACTGTGATATAAATATTTTATAATTTGGATTATCTGTGATGGAACATCATTTCTTTGTACATTTTTTTAAAAGAGGGGAGTGCTAACCAGCCTTTATGGTGACACTGAGTAGAGACTCATATTCTGAAGTGCCCTCTTTGTCCTGAGTAGTGAAATAAGAAAGCCATCTAGACATGGCAGCCACTGCATCTATGCGTATACCAACACAAAATGACCAGTTCAGCTTTCCTGATAGGTAATCATTTGAAGACTTGAATCATTCTGCAGCTTTGGTGTGGGTTGGCAAGAAAAGTGCACATAATATATCATTATGCACATCCTCCTGAAAAATATATCACAAAAACAAGAATTGTTGCCTTGTCAGCATCAGTGGACTCGTCAGCCACTAAAAGTGATGCTTTCAGTACAGACACATTTGATGGAGTGGTTGCCTTCGATAATTGGTTCTGTTCTTTGCGTTTGCAACTTTTTTCTTTTGAAAAACTCCAGAGGCTTATCTTCTATGCAAGGCGTGGTCTCCATGTGGTGAAGGAGTTTTGAAGGATTCATGGCTTCATTGAGTAGTTGTTCACCACATAGTATGCAAAGCAGGCTTAGAGAATGTGAAATCCGTAATTTAAGTAGGACTCTTGGCATTTTCTTTAGTAGGCAGCTTTCTTTTTGTTGTCAGTCTTAGAGCCTTCTGCTAACTCATCGTTAGGTCTTTCCCCCTTTTCAGAGAAGCTCTCCAGTGATATTTTTTACTCATTTTATAGGGATAGTTTATGGGTTTACCAAAACTGTGACTGAGGCAAGTGTGCAGCGCAGGAAATTGGTGCAGCTGGAAGTTGTACATAAAATAATGGTTGGGCCACACACCGACCAAAGTGTCAGATTCTAACGTAAAGACTGCCACCAGATGCAGCTTGTCATTTCCCACTTGCTGATAGGTTTTGATCTGAGTCTGCAAGCAACTGATTTATTATTGTCTCTGCAGACAACCTCTTTGCTTATGTTCATCTGTATTTGCAGCCACTTCCCAGTGCTAGCATCACCACTTCACTCTACCTCAGATCATCAGACAGTAGCTTCTCGTGAGGAGCACTCAGCCTAGATCCCTGGCATGCACCGAAATTTCGTACGCATGACACAGAGGTTCCCAGCCATACAGGGTGGGAGACAGAATCTACTCTGAAGGTCCCGTGTGTTCTGTCATATTGTGCTACCACCTTCTAGTAAATAGTACCTGAGCTCTAACTGAATGCGGGGGCCAGTAACTCTGCTGTGTGTTTTCACAGGACACAACCAAGCTTGCAGATCTGTGATATAGCTTTGAATGTCCTTAAAAAATGTTTTTGCTCGTAGGTGGTCAGCCCTGTTCTGGACCTCCAGCCTCTCCGTTACTGGGACCCCTTGCTATGTGACGTGCTGCCCACTGTAGTGAAGACATGCCTATTTGCATTTTAACAGAGGTTTTGTTCTTCTGTTTCTTAATAGCTACTGCCTCTTGGGACACCTTTCTCATGCTATGGAATTTGAAGCCACAAGCTAGAGCTTACAGATATGTGGGTCACAAGGATGTTGTAACCAGCGTGCAGTTTTCTCCACATGGAAACTTCTTGGCATCTGCCTCACGAGACAGAACCGTTAGACTCTGGATTCCTGATAAGTAAGAGAAAAAACATTTGATCTGCTTTGGGTTTGGAAATGTGAAAGAAGGCTGGAGTCTGGCATCTCCTAATGCACTCCTTGGGAATGCCTGAGTTCCCCAATTATCCACTTAATCTGAGTCACATGCAAGGTGTACTGCCCTTGTTTTAAAGTCAAAATGTTTCATACAAATTTTTCCTCATTTTAAACTCATAATTGTGTCTTCTTTTAGAAAACTGATTCTAACATGGAAATAATACATAGAATGTCTCAAAGTTTAGGTGTTTTGGGGGATGTGGTGGCAGTGGCTTAGCAGTCTCTGAAAATCTGATGTAAGCTTTAGATTGTCTCTCCTAGAAGATACACGGTGGCATGTATCAAAGTGTACAGTTTATTAACCTCCCAGTACCCTTTCATCTATCCTTTGGGAGTCTGTGGATATCTGTTGAAAACTCCTATATCAAAACTGTTCTGTGATTGGTATAATTTTGGGAAGGCTCCAGCATTTTCTTGTTAAAGAAAATTTCTGAAAAAGTATAAATCATTGCATCTGTTAAGGTAATATCCTGTTATAACAAATCTCTCCATAAAAGACTTTTCAAATCCCAGCTCATAGCCTGTTTGGAACAGTTATGGAACCTGATTTAAAGAAAGTTTTTTTTCAAACTTCTAAGTATGTAAATTTTCAACAGTACGTGAAAAAACTGAATATTGTGACTTGCCCACTACACTCATATAACAGTTTAAACTCAGTTTAATCTCAATATTCTGCCAGTATTGTTTTGTCCATCCTCCCACTCCTTTTTACTGGAGTATTTTTAGAACAAATCTGTACATCGTATCATTTCCCTCTGTAAGTACTTCAGAGGATAGGAATTTGGGCATTTTTCTTGATTCCACTGTGGCAGGATCTGATTTGCAGCATGTGACTAACAGGGCCCAGTCACTTCCACATGAAGATCGCTCACAGGGCCCTTCCTCTGCCAAGAGCACCTTTTTCTGCCACCACCCAAGGGAAAAATCCAGGCTGAGAAGTCTGACTTTTATCCTGATGGTAGTAAAAACTATTTGAGAGAATAATGATAATGTGCATGGCATTAAGAAGAGAACTATGAGGGGGAAGAGACCGGTTTGGGGTTCAAGAGAAGAAACATGTTCCAAAATCTTTAACATTGAGAATTTAGGACTAACTTGTTATTTGTTTGTTTTGCAGTGCCCAGGATCATGCCCAGGGCCTTGCACATGTGGCGCAAGTGTTTACTGAAAAGCTATATCCCGTCCCCAGCCCTGTTTTAATCTTCAGTACACAGCTCACCCTTAGTCTCCCATTACTGATTCAAGGAAATCTTCATAAACAAATTGTATAAGGATAGATGACCAAAAAGCACACTGGATCATTAGTCTGCAGTGGCCAGTCTACCTACAGTGATTGTGTTTATGCAGATGTCTCTGGTTTCTCGTTCTAAATCTTGTCATGGTGGGGGCAGGGCAATAGTGGATCCTGGCAGTGAGAAGGAAGCTGGGGTATCAGTGATCAGTTATCTATCACTGAGTAGCAATCCCCAAACTTAGTAGCTTAAGACAAAAGCTGTCACCTCTCACAATTTTATTGGTTGTCTGGATGGTTCTTCTCCCTGTTTGGTGTTGGTGGAGATTACCCACGCAGCTTCACTAAACTGGCCCCTGGGCCAGACAGGTCCAGCACTCGCTTACACCTCGGGGGGTGGCGTTGCTCTTGGCTGAGATGCCTTGGTCCATCATGTGCCCTCCCTCCAGCGGGGTGGCCTGACTGGACTCTCGAAGTGGGGCAGCTGGATTCCAGGAGAGTCAAAGCGGAGACTGCGAGACGTGTTCAGGACTGGGCCTCACAACCTCATCCCAGTTTTGAAGGGAGGAGAAAGCCGGTGCACAGCAAATGCCATGCACTGCTGTCTCGCTTTCTTACGCGCTTTCTTGTTGAGACAGGCCCCCCTGGTTAGGGAAGCAGAGTAGCTGGGGGTGGTGTGTGTGTGAAATGTAGAAGTAAAGATCAAGGCAGATTTGCATGGTACTGACTGGCTGTCGCGGCTTCCTGCTCATTGCAGATGCCAAGGCTTTTCACTGTTTTCTCTAGGACTTACACTTGAATTCAGGCCAAACTACACTCCTGCTTTCTATTCAATAAAAAATTTCCCTTGAGACCTTATTCAACTAGTCCTAACTGTTCCGTCCTAATTCTCATTTAATAGTAATTTTCGTTATTTCTGATGTATTATCATATACCATGTGATGGAGATTAGTGATAAAGTCACCTTTGCCTTCTACAGGCAAAGGGAAACCCAGATTGGATCTTAGAACCTTTAAGTATTGATTCTTCCTAGGTGAATAAATCATCATTCCTGTCCTCAAAATACTTAGTGTTTAATAGGAGAAAGCAGGTCTGTTTTTTAAAAGTCTCTATTTAATATGGTAAAGTAAAACTACTATGTGAGAGAGGAAGTGATTAAGCCTGTGTGGCTTGGTCAGGGGCTTCTGGGGACAGGAAATAGTTCAGCCTGAGGAAGCCAAGTGCAAAGACACAGGGCCTTTAAAGCACTGTGGCTGATCTGAGTATAAAGTTCAGTGCAGTGGCCGGTCTTCACCATAGCGCTTGGGCGTTGCCCTCAATGCTGGAGGAAGCAGTGACACGTTTGCACCAGGCTTGATATGCTTGGAGGTTTTAGCAAGGTGCTAAGCACAGTATGTAGGTGACTGGAGGGGACAAACAATTAGAGCAGCGAGACCAGTTAAGAGGCTTTTACAATAATCCAGGTGAAGGATGTTGAGGATCCATCTTCCTTAAGGCAAGCAGAGCTGGGAGAGAAAGAAGAGGCATATTGAAAAGATATTTAGGAAGTGGCAACAGTAGGGTTTGTTGAATTACTGGATATGAGAGCGAGGAATGGGGAGGAGCTGAGTGTGACATCCAGGCTTCTGGCTTGGAGACAGGCAGCTATTGCTGTCACCAACCAAGATAGCAAATGCAGGGTGAGGTGCAGGTGTATGGGACACCAGTGTGACCATCTGAGAGTCAGAGACGGGTGTATGTACATCCTAACTTCTCTCACCTGGTCCTTTTAGACAGTTATGCCAGTTTTCCCCATGAGCTATCACAGGTATAAATATCATTTTCTAAATGGGAAATTGCTAAGTCACGGATGTAGTGTGAAATGAAAGTGTCACGAGAACTGAGGAACACTGACACAAAGTACTGGTTTCCAAATGTCACCTTGTAACTCCAGCACTACTTAGGCTGCTCCTATTTTAACAGTTTTTCTGCTTCTTCTAAATGCCTCAAGTTACTTTCTCCCTCTCCCTTTCAGTTATCTTTTCCCCTCACTAGCCAAGAAAAAAAAGTATCTGAAATTTCAGAATGTCAAAGTACAGCATGTTTCTTCCCATTCACCCTGTGTTTTGTTTGTGCAAGTAAGATTGGGCCTGTAAGGTGAGCAAGACTTTAACGTATGTGCCAGGGTCTCAGTTTTCATTCCTGGGGGGTGGAAGCATGGGGGAAGAGGAAAGCAGGGTCAACCAGGGGCATCCTTTGTAAAGGTGAATAGCACAGGATGGCTCCTCCTCCCAGCCCAGCCTGCCAGGCCACCCCTTCCGAGGGACCTGATTTTAAAACACTGCCATGGGGATACTGATTTCATCAATCTTGGGTCTTCTGTGGATTGCCATTTCTGGGGAGACAATAGGAACTTAAAATACATGCTAGAGACTTATTCACATTGTTTTCCTAGCTTCCAGCTAAATAGTAGCAAATGCATTCCTGGGTGGGAACAACCTGGTGTTTCTTGTTAGGTGTCAGTTGTGTTTTTCATGAACCAAACCAGTACGAAACATCAGTGACGAGTACAGCCTTCTCGTACTTCTGTTAGGTTTTGCAAGAGAACCTATTTTGTATGTTTCAAAGTCTGTATACTGACTCAATATCGATTATAATTAAATCAAGTAAATTATCCATATTAAACTGTTTATTTTCAGGAGAGGGAAATCCTCAGAATTTAAAGCTCACACAGCTCCAGTTCGAAGTGTGGACTTTTCAGCCGATGGTCAGTTTTTGGTTACAGCTTCTGAAGACAAATCCATCAAAGTATGGAACATGAACCGCCAGCGCTTCTTATATTCCTTGTACCGACACACACACTGGGTCCGCTGTGCCAAGTAAGTACAGAAAGTTTCATTAATCTGACCTCCACATTTTTTTTTCCTGCTACAACCATGTTTGCCCCTCACCTCCAGAAAGGGACTGAGGGCATATTCATTCATTCTCTCAGCAAGTATTTATTATGTGGCTGCTGTCTGGGATCAGTAGTGAACAATACTCAAGCCCCCTGCTTTCATGGAGTTTACACCCTAGGAGACAGGTGATAAACAAATGGGACAGTAGTTACAGTAGGTCAGATAGTGATGAGTATTACAGAGAAAGAGTGGGGCTGGAAGGGGGTCTGCAGTTTTAATAAGGCTGCTCAGGAGCTGCCTCCCAGAGAGTGGCCCTTGGAGCAGACTTAGAGGACAGCGAGTGAAGGTTGAAGAAATTTGTGAAAGGAGGTGGAACCCAAGTGGCTATGTGAGGAACAGCATGAAGCAGAGCACTGGAGCAGAGTAGGAGAGGCCCAGCCGACCTGGGCCAGCTCAAGGCACAGCTATGAGTGAGGTGAGATGCCATCTAAGCGGTTCCTCTCCCAGCTGACATTTTGATGGGATTGAATTGCCCTGACTGCAGTGTGGGAAACAGCCTGCCAGAAGCAGAGGTGTCCCTACTCAGAACAAGGTAGGGGCAATGGAGATTACGGGAAATGGTTGGATTCTAGAGAGAGTTTGAAGTTACAGCCAATCATACACATCCTTCATCGGGGAGCCCAACAATTTAAAAAGAATGGAATATTGATTGATTTAGGCAATTAGACTGTTTTACTTATACTTTTATTAATACTAGCTGTTATGTAACCAATGCGTTCTGTGTGCTTCTATATCCTTCTAAAAAAAAAATGAAGGTGGTTCACAATAATCCTCAGACCTATGTGTACATCATTCAGTAGAGGAAATGAAGCGATGATTCTATCTAGAACCATGTAACCTTGTCTAGTGCCAATTTGGTGTGCTGATTAGCCAGTGGTCATAGTTTCTCATTGCTAAGACAAAATACTCAACACCCACACATTAAAGAAGGAAAGATTTATTTTGGCTCACATTTTGTAGATGTTTCAGTCCATAGTAGCCTGAATCAAGGAAGGGTAGCATGGCAGAGGGGCATCGCAGAGAAGAAACAGTCCATGGCATGACAGGTAGGAGGCAGCTTCCCTTCCTTCCTTCCTTCCTTCCTTCCTGTCCCTTTTTATTCCATCCAGGCTATAAGCCTATTGGTTAGTGCCACCCACACCCAGAGTGAGTCTTTAGTAAGTCCATCATCAGCCTTAACTGTGCGAAACCAATCAGCAGACTAATCCAGTATTACACACTCAGGATCCAGTCACTCACAAAAGTCCATCTATGAGCTTATGAGGCTTTGTGGGGACATCTAGATATAGGTCATAACACCTTTGTTTCCTGCCACTGAAGTATTAATGAAATGATGGTGTCCTACATGGTTTTTATTTTCTGATAATAAGGAATACTGTCAAGTTGTTCATGTAAGAAAATTTTTCTTGGAAATAAATTCTAGGAGGTATTTCATTCATTGCCCTTGTACTGAACCATCTACATCTAATATAAATGTTTTCTAAACTATAAAACTAATGTAAGACAAACTTATGAAAAGTCAAAATAATGTAAAATTTCAGTCTTCAAAATAGTCCTTTAAATAAGCACAGCCCCCTATGTACACATATCTGTGTTAAGTGCATAGAGATGGAAGACAGAATGTTGGCCTCCAGGAGCCTACATTTCAATGGATAAAATAGGTACTAAATAATTATAAGATGTTGTATCCTGTGGGAAAGTGGTATCCAGGATGATGAGAGATATCTAAATGAGGCATTAAACTACATTTTTGGGAGGCTAAGTCAAGAAAGACATTCCAGGCCCAGAGTAAAGGAGGGGAAGGGAAAGAAGAGGCCACTGCATATTTTGCTGGGTGTGAAGAGCATGGAGGAAACCAACAGTAAACCACTGAGAGAACTCTGGGAATGTTAATTGTTCAGCTGGGGTTGGACACAGGAAGTGTAGTGGGACAAGATGACCTAATATCTTGGTCATATGCTACTTGCCCCATATTGGTGCTCTTAGGCAAGTTAATTCCCTGCCTTAGCCTCTTTGGAAACTGGGGGTAATTAGGGCTGTTATGCAGATGAGAAATAGGGGTTCACACTGTTTGGGATTTAGCAGTACTATGAGGCTGCCTTTCTCCGGCTGGTACCATCAGTTAGACGAAACTGGAACCAGAGATCAATTAGAGGAAGGCTGCCTGGCATGTCTTCCTGTTTCCTTAGCCAAGTCGCATTTCCCCCCAGAACCAGCCTTCCCCACATTCCCTCTCTGTGTTATGGGCTGAAGCAGCCCTGTCTTTCATCAGTGGGCTCGAAGCTCAGTCTTGCCAGTGGGAACGTAGCATCTCTCTCCTACAGGAGTGAGTCTGGTTGGAAAGGCCAATCTTTCCTCTTTAGGATTATTTAAGCCTGTGGCTTGTGAGGGAACTATTAGCCAAGAACTGACCTGGAAATAATGTTGATTCAGAGGAAAGCAGAAATGTGAGATGCAGACAGAGTGAATTGATGTCTAACCTGGTTTGGTTTCTGGAAACAGCCATACCTGAGAGTATGAGAGAGAGAGACAGAAGCATGGAAATATTCCCTTTTGCTGTTTTTCCCCCAGAAAAGAAGCTTGGGGGTGGTACTGGTGCAGCTTTAGGAAAGTACGATCTTCATACCCAGTCAGGACCCCTGTGCTATCTCCGTCTCCCACCCCACTGCCTTACTCTTGGCATCGCCAGCCCTTTATCGGTAACCTTTTAAATGTTCTCCCTGTCACAGATTTACCTGCATCTCCACCCATTCCCTGTTCCTACATCTGTAAGAAAGCAGCTCTGCTCCTGCTGTTTCTCGGGTTCAAACCCCTCAGTGACCCCTTGCCCCCGGCAGGTGTGCCCTGCCTTTCTCTTGCTAGCTGTCCTTCTTTTGTCCCTTTCACCGTTCTCCTGGCTGCAGCTGTGCAAGCCCTCCAGCAGGCAGCCAGCTGCTCTGAGCCTTCCCCACCCTGGGCGGGGCTCTGAGCCTCCATTCCTGGGAGCCCTCAGTTTCCACCCTTCTTGCACACGGGCTCAGCACTCTCCCAGGCCAAGCTTATTAAGATTCCATGATGCCCATATGTTGTGCTGTTTAGGAGGTCTGTGTGTCAGCTTGGGCCTCTCTTCCCTGTTAGACTTTGAATTACAAGTATTTTATTCATATTCTATTCTCTTGCTGAGCACTGGCTAAATTTTACAGGTAAGGGACACAGTAAAGTCATAAACAGACAAAATTCCTGCTCTTATGGAGCCTCCTTACTAAAGAGGGACAGACAACAGATGTAGTAATGATAAGTGCTCAGGAGAGAAATAATACAGGGTAACAAGATAGAGAGTGATGAGCTTGGGCGGGGAGGCTTTTTTTACAAACAAAGGTACCAGGCTGACGTGTGAGCCATAGCCTGCATGAGTCGAGGGAGCTGGTGAGGTGGGTGTCAGGAGAGGGAGTCAGATGTGCTGTGAGGATCCCCCTGGAGTGCTAGGTGCAGGGTGAGCACGGGGAGCTGCAGTTGAAGGGCTGAAGGGAAGGGTTGGCCTCTACTGTGCAGATAACCTCGGTGGTAGTTTTCACAGGCTTCTTCAGAGCAGTCATTTTTGTGGATCTGTTAAGCAAAACGAGGAGTGCTGGACATGTGTGTTACGAAGAGATGTTTATGTGGCGCTGTTGCTGTCCTCGTCCATTTTGGTTGACTCTTGTTCAGACTGACAAGCTTACTCGGCACACCTTGTTTTTATAGAATGCCTTTATCTTGCTGGCACGTATGTTTCTGAGGGAGGGTTGTTTTTTTTTATCAGTTGTTTTCTTGCAGCTTTGAGTGAGTCATTCATGTGAAACTCTGCAGAGGCCTCTCTGGAGGAGTGTTCTTGGTTCAACTTAATACAGTTTTCCTCTTTTTGGTCTCTTTCCACATACGTGCTCGACAGCATGGTTACAGATCCTTTCTCATACTTTATTGCAGTTCTTTCTTCTTAGCTCATGTTATTGCAGTCAGAAGAAGACAGTTGAGACAAATGTCCAGCTGGCTTAATTGGCCACTCAATCTCAGCCTCCCAGGCTCTTTATGCATCTTCCTGAGGAGTTAGCTTTCATTAGGTGATGCTAATCCAGGACTCACTTCCAAAACCCTATGTGATTCAAAACCCTGTTATCACTCTATATCCAGAGGTGAGAACACTCACCAGGAACTGAGTCATACTTAATAAATTTAGCAGTCTGAAACATAAACCAGGTGCCAGTTTACTTATTGATAATGACAATGCTAACTGCCCAGGGATGTAGAATTTTTGCATGCCTTAGTTAGGGCCTTCAACTTTGCCAGCAGAGTCAGATATAAACAGAGGTCTGCTCCATGAGCCCCAGAACTAGAGCAAAGGTAGTTTGCTAAAAAATTCTCCATGGATTGTCTCCTTGTGTTTGGATAGCTAGATGAGCCCATTTCCTCCACATACGCATTCCTGAGAGAAAACTATGTGATCAAGTCTGACATCAGGCACTCTCTCCTCACCAAGACGGAGACAGTCTTACCTTTGCCTCTCGCTTTGCTGGGCGCCACTGCTCTGTCGATATGGTACCTACCTTCCAGTGATGCAGTACAGTTGAGTGGCATCAGCAGAGAAGTGGCACAGCATAGTTAAGAGCATGAGCTCCCTGGCATGTGATTCTGGCCACATAACTTACTTCTCTGGGCCTCAGACTACACCTGTCAAATGGGAACAATAGAAGTGTTTTCCTCATGCTGTCATTATGAAGAGTAAAGTTAATGAAGGTGAAGTGTCAATTAATATCAACTATTAACTACCTTCCTATTCCAGTTCTTTCACCTAGAGCTTATGTTGAAGTCCCCATGAAGTGCTGTTGAAAAGTCATTTCATACATTTGTACATAGATTTGGGGATTGCTACTGTATATAACTACTCTCAGGTATTGAATATATATTATGTATTTGACTATCGGAGAGTAACTTTATTTTTAAGTAGTTGAGTCTGCAATCTCTGCTTTTTAAGTGGAGTTCATGGTCCTTAAATTTCTTTTTTAATCCTTAAATTCTTTTATTGGTACATTTTAGGTATACAGTATGATCACATTTATCATTGGGTGTCTGTACCTGTACATGATGTATCTTGGTTCTTATTTTTTCCCCATTTACCTGTATGCCCTTCACCCCCTCCACCCTTCCCTATTTACATAGACTTTGTTTCCATTTTTTTCTTTTCTCATAATTTTTCCTTTCCCTTCTTTCCTTTCCCCTTACCCTCCCACCACCCCTACCCCTTTGGACCTTTTCTTCCTATTTCAAATTATCAATATTTGTTTTAATCCTTAATTACATTTTCAGTTTCTCACACTGGAGAAACTATTCGGTATTTACACATGCGTGTCCTATTTATTTCGCTTAAGAGTATCGCCTCAATATGCATCCATTTAGCTATAAAGGTCTAGTTTCTCATTCTTTATGCCTGAGTAGTACTCCATTTTATAAAAAAACCCACATCTTCTTTATCCAGTTTCTAGCTGATGGGCATTTGGGCTGTTTCCAAGCTTTAGCTATTACAAACTGTGCCGCTATAAACATGGGTGCACATATATCACTGTGGTATGATTCTTTTAATTCTTTGGGGAAGATCCCCAGCAGGGGAATAGCTGGGTCAAGTGGGACTTCCAGTCCTAGTTCTGTGAGCTATCTCCGTACTGATTTCCACAGTGGTTGTACCCATAGCCCTTAAATTTATGTAGCTAGTGCTGTGATTCGATTGAAGTCCAGCAGACTGATGTTTTCTGTTTGTCCTGTCCGTTGGTGTCTGTACTCTCCTTTCCTTTTGGATTCAGTATCCCACCTAATCTCCTCTGCTGACATTTTAGCTTTACTCTGTCTTATTTCTGTTCATGGGTACCTCTAGCAGTTAAAGAATGCATCCTAACTTATCACAGTCTACTCTTGAATTATTTTATGATATTTTATATATAGTGTTAGAACTTAGAAAAATACATCTCCATTACCCACTTTTTGACAGCTTTACTTCTACATATGATATAACCCCACTGTATGTTAAGCAGCCAATTTTCTCTTTAGGAAAATAACAAAAAATGTTTTTTATGTTTATCTCCATATTTACTACTTCTAACATTTTTTTATGCTCATTCTAACGTTATTGGAAATTGGTTGTATACCAATGAAATAAAGTCAAGGAAAAGCATCATTTTTGCACAGTAATACTCTTCTATCTGTGCTATCCTGTACCATAATTTAATAAATTTTAGAATGCCTCTGATTTGGGTACAGAGAGCTTGGGTGGTCTGGAAATATCTCTATAGAAACATAAACCATAGCATCTAAAATAACCATCATTACTTACATTGGTCCCAAATGCCTTGGGAGTATCTCCTGAAATATAAGCACCCTGGATTGGCTGCAGTGCCAGTGGGGGAGAGGGTGGGCAGTACATGTGAAGCAAATACATCAGGGGCTGGGAAACAGTGACACAGCATCTCTAGAGTGGCATACATAAGGGATGGGGCCTGCAGGTCCGGAAAGCTGGCCACCATACTTGGCCGCCCTGCCTCTTCCAATATTGCTTGAGTGTCAGTGTTAACAGGAACCTGAGACGCCAATGCAGAAAGAAGCCCATCACCCCAGCTTCCTTATCATCGCCAGGTAATGGCGGGACCCTCCTCTGGGTTGCATCAGGCAGAAACTCTGGCACAGAGAAGGTTCTGGAAGGTTCTGTCCACCTCACTTCCTCAGTCAAACTCAGCCCTCCCTCTCCCAACTGACAAAACTTGAGGGAGCAGCAATCCAAAGAAAATAACTGAGCCCGTGCGCTGCTGGTCCCTTGGAATGAGGACAGAGTGGCTTTACTTGTTTTCCTTTGAGGAGCACTGGCAAAGCTCTCAGCATCCCCCTCACCACCTTTAAGGCCATCACCAGCCTTTAGGTTCTTTGGTTCTTCAAAGCTTCTCAGCACACAGTGTTAATGCAAGGCCTGTGGTGGCCTTGCGGCTCACAAACAGCTTTCACCTTCGCTGAGTCATTTGACTCACACAGCCCTGTGAGGTAGGAAGGGTGAGGATCCTGATCCCTAGTTGAAAGATAAGGAACCTGGAACTCAAGAGTTAGGTCGCTTGACCAAATTCACACAGTTGGCCAGCTGCAGAATCAAAATCAGAACACAGGTCTAATTGAAGCTCCATCCCACTGTTTCTGAGAACAGGCTGGGAGAAGGGACCTGCGGCCTCATCCCCAGCCTGACCTCTTGGATGGTTCTCAGAGGCCCCACTGAGGACCGGATGAGTCCGCATGCGATAGATGATGACTGCAGTGGCTGGGCACAACAAGGACGTCATGATGACAGTGGTGGCCAAGATGATGAGGACAATGACCCAGATATCCAAGATGCGCTTGGGAAGCACAGCTTCTGCAGGGCATTGGCTGATAGCGTCCATGCTGCCCCGCTCCCAGCTGGGCGGTGCCACCCTGGCGAAGCTCCGGCACAGACACCACCAGCGGCTCCTCTACAGGTCCGAAGGCACGCACGGGATCCGGCCGCCGGAAGCAGCCCCCCGGAGCCGGGAACGTGCCTGGCTCCTCCAGACTTGCGGAAGTGGCCGGGACCTGGGTTCAGCACCCTACGCGGGCTCCGCTGGCCTCCCTTGCCGACTGCTGCGGAGAAAGGAACTTTCAGGAGAAAGAGCCCGGAGTCTCGGGTTCCCTTCCACCCCGGCGTTTCTAACACTCTTTTATTCATTTATCTGGATACAAGTATCCATCTGGTGTCATTTCTTTAGCTTGAAAAACTTCATTTACCATTTTCTATAGTGCCAGTCTTTTGCTGATGACTTCTCTCAGCTTTTAGTTTAGCCTTTACAAAGGATATTTTTGCTGAGAAGCGTAGTTTTAGGTTGTTAGCTCTATGAAGATGTCATTTGCTATGGTCCTTATATTAGGTTCCAGAGAGATAGAACCAGTAAGATACTCGTGTCCATATAGGGAGGAGATATATCAAGGAATTGACTTACATGATTATGGCAGCTGAGAAGTGTTACTCAATGAAGTCCAAAGGCCTTAGAACTTTCCAAGAAAGCTGAAGGTGTAACTCCATCACCCCTGAAAGGGGATCACTAGTATAAGTCCTGGAGACCAAACCCAGAAAGCCTGGACTTCTGATGTTCAAAGCAAGACATGATATTCCTGCTCTCCAGAAGAACCACTTTACTTTCTCTTTTTGTTTTCTTAGGGTTCCTGGCAAACTAGATGGTGCCTCCATATATTAAGTGTGGTTTCCCCATCCAGCCTACTCAGGCCTACATACTGATCTTTTCTGGAAATGCTTTCCTAGACACCCCCAAAATAATACTTTTCCAGGTTTCAAAATATTCCTTTTTTTTTTTTTTTTTCTGGTACCGGGAATCGAACTTGGGACCTTGTGCTTGAGAGGCAGGCAGTGGAACCACTGAGCTAAATCCCAAGTCCCTCAAAATATTCTTTAATCCAGTCAGATTAACACCTAAAATTAACCGTCTCTGTCCAAATACTTGTGTCCCTCAAAATTCATGTACTTAAATCTTGATCCCAGAGGTGATGGTGTCAGAAGGTGGGACCTTTGGAAATGATTAGATATCAAAGAATGCCAGATAGTTGTCAGGGGATCCCGACCACTTGATTGAGGGTACAGCAGAAGATGAAAGAATAATAGACAAAGAATAAGGAATAAAGTTTTTATTACTAAGGGGCCAGGAATTGATCTTAGCTCTTTCTCACTAAGACCACAATCTCCGGACTAGTTAGTATTTATTGTCTATACAACATAGTAGCGGGCACAAAAGGCAGATGAAAGGAACAGCAGGCTAAGGCACTAATGAACCAGGCTTAGAAAAAGGAGAAACTATGTATTTGTGTGTGAATGACAGGTGTTACCTTTACTTAAGTTTGATCTGTGAGAGCAGCTGCATAGAATCATAAATCCTCAGCTGCAGTGTCACCTTGCCATTAGAGATGTCATAATCTCATGGATCGTTGAGATCTCAATTGTAACCATTGGCATAGGGAATTCTTTCTCCATATGCCAGCCAAAGGCTCATTTGACAAATCACATGTAGGCCTTGGATTGACTCACAATAGCCAATATATAAGCCAATTCACTAATATTTATAGCCTTCTCAGTGCAGTTTCAAGCTGATCTCCTGCTATTAGATGCTGAGGACAGAGACCTCATGAATGAGATTCATGTCCTTGCCAAGGAGGCCACAGAGAGACTCCTGACTTTTCCACCATGTAAGGACACAATGAGAAGATACCAGGCCAACACCAGGCAATAACTGCCAGCTTGGGCTTCCCAGCCTCTGGAACTGTGAGAAATAAATTTCTGTTGTTTACAAGCTACCCAGTCTGTGGTCTTTAGTTACAGAGTGTGGACTGAGGCATTATCCTGTTCTCTTCTGGCTTTTTTTTGTGAAGGCAGCAGTTATTTTTACTGTTATTTCCCTGTATGCACTAATCTTTCTCTACTGCTCTAAGATCTTTTATTTTTAGCAGTTTGACCACAAGGTGCCTAGGAATGGTTTTACATTTTTTTCTTTTAGTCACTGAACTATTTGGATCTATGAACTGATATTTTTCATCACATTTGGAAAGATCTTTGTATTTTCTTCATTTATTTTTCTTAATTTCTCATCTTTTTTGAGACTCTAAATTCACATTTGACCACTTGATATTGTTACAGTATATTGACTTTGTTCACTTGTTTTAAACTTGTTTTTTTTTTCTCTCTGTACTTAGTTTGCATAGTTTCTATTGGCCTTTCCCTAAGTTCACTAGTTTTTTGTGTGTCTAGCGTCCAATCTGCTGTCAAGCCTAACATTCATTCCTCTGGTAAGAGTCCCTATTTGTCCATTCATAATGTCCATCTTTACCTTTAAATCCTCAAACATGAGTGAGGCACAGTGGTGCACACCTGTAGACCCAGCTCTTTGGGAGGCTGAGGTAGGAGGATAAGTTGAGCCCAGGAATTTGAGACCTGCCAAGACTCTTCCTCAAAAAAACAAAATTCCTTGAACATATTTATAATAATTGTTTTACAATCTTTGCCTACTAATTCCAACATCTCTGCAATTTCTAGGTGAATTTTTTCTTCTTTATATGTCCTGTTATTTTTTTTTTTATTGCATACTCAACTATTGCTAAATATTTGAAAATACAGATTGTGCTATTATTGTCTAAAGAGTATTGAATTTTATTCTGGTAAGAAAATAACTTCCTCCTGACACAGCTAGAATTTGTTGACACTTGGACTATTTACCCTTGGTCAAGTGGATTTAGAATGTCCTTTACTCATAGCCTGTAGTATCACTTTGCCTTTTCTAGGGTCTCAACTAAATACATGGCATGTTCAGCAAAGTTGGGACAGAACTTGAACATCTCTCAGTACTATGTAACCTCTGTAATCTTTGTTCAGCTCATAGCCTCCCAGTAGTTGTTCTCTGCCAAGTTTTGTTACCCTGTGCATGGGGATCTTTGTTGTTGACCAAAGACTTAGGAGGACTGCTAGAGAGAAGTTTTAGGGGTTCTACTCTCTAATTTCTCTTTCATACCTTATCCTCAAAATTGCATCCCTTTGAATTCCAGCACCTCTGAATGGATTTATTTCCTCTGCCCAGTGTGACTCCCATCTCCTTTGGCTTCTCCTTCTTGTACCATTCCTTAGAAAGTGCTCCCAGGGAGAAATGTGGGATGGATTTTATGTTCATCTTATACATTGCTCATCCCTCAAGATTCACAGCCCTGTGCTGTGTCTTGCCTAGTGCCTAAAAACAATTGCTTCATACATATTGCCTAGTTCTATGATTGTTTATTTGGAGAATAAGTTTGATAGCCATTACTTTCCCCTACCCCATGGCCGGAACTGGAAGTTCTGTCAAAGGAATTAATTTAACCTGACAAACTAATTTCAAGTTCAACATGAATATAATAAGTGTGTAAGAATAGCCCAAATTAATTGACAGGGAAAAAATATTGGAAGAAACTTGTCCAACCAGCCCTTGAAACATTCCATAAAATTATAGTAATTAAAATATGGTGATAAGAGTACAGGATTAGGAAAATGGAGGTAGCAGAATCAGACGCATACCTATGGAAAATTACGACAAAGCATTTCTAACCAGTAGGGAAATACATGCTCTATGTAATATATGGTTAGAAAAACTGGATTTTTATTTTTAAAATATAAAATTGGATCTTTATTTCACACTGTTGATTGTACATGATTCAACAACTAAACATTAGAAATTGTCCAAATGATACTACTCTTCCTGCAGTGCATCAACAGTGTATTTAAGTAAATGTAGAGAATTAGTAAAGCAGTTGTTTCTCCATTTAGTATTTGGTTTTTAACTGTATGCATGGAGTTAAGTAATGACAGTTCTTTGTGTCTGTGCCCTGTACTTTCTGGGATGTTCCTTCTAGAGCCCACACTAACTCCACGTGGCACGGAAATGGTGCCCATTAGTGTGAGGAAATGAGTATCATTTAGTTCTCTGGGCTAACGATTGTTTATAACCATGCATCTTAACTTACAGAAATATTTTAACATAGCCCATCTATTGGGAAATATATTTATGCTTTTGAAATATAAATTAATATCTTTTTAGAAATCAATTTGGAAAAGTATCAACTTTGGTTGCAATGATTCCTCAACAAGTAATTTATCTTGTTCTTTTGTATTAAAAGTTTTGGCTTTCAGCATGATTCACAGCGATGAGAATTTAGAAATAACCAATTTTCCCAAATTATTGTATGGCCATGATTACAGCATGTGAGGGAAAAATGCAGAACTCATGATTATAATACAACTGACCTAGGCATGAAGAAAAGATAAGGTACCTAGCACACATAAAACATTAAATGTGATTTTTGTTGTGATTCTGGAATTTTAAAATTTTTTATATTTCCCAACTTTAAAAACATACTTTTTCTTGAAGTATTAATGAAGAGCACATTTATTACTTGAAATTTATATATAGTTAAGGAATATCATCTCTTTTTAATAACAAGTTTTTTCTCAAAATTTAAATTGTTGTAACCATGTAGTTTTGTTTTGTTTTGGTTTTGTTTTTTTCAAGAGTAGGAAAAATTTATTGAGAGAAAGATATCTTCTGTCTAAGAGAGACAGGAAGGGCACTGGAAAATGGGTTGCCCCTGTAACCCTCTAGTTTTAAAAAATAATGTACCTTATGTGATAATATCCTTCTTTATGGTGGAAAAGAGATTAAGAATGAGAGAACTTTTCCACTCTTAATTGGTTTTCCAGCATTAATTTTAGGGTAAAAATCTGCCTTTAATTTTCAGTTATTTGTAGTATTGCAAATGATCTTTTGACCTTCTGAAGTGCAGTTTTTTGTTTTTAATGATGCTAAAATACTGAGGCATTTTTCCACTTAAGGTGGCTGTACCTCAGTAAGCCCGCCATAAGTTGGAAATAGTGTTAAGCTGAAAGTACATTTAATGTATCTAACCTACTAAACGTCCTAGTGTAGCAGCACATTA